GGGGGTGAGACATCTATTGTCTGCTACATACAATGCTGTTTTAACTCCTCTCTCTGGGCAGGTTAATAACACCTCCTAGCTCCAATTATGCAATTAACAACACCTGGGTGTGATTAACAGATGATGTGGATTGGAGCGACATTCACCATATCTATTCCCAGATAATTTTTCTACAAGTCATTCTGAATTGAGGAAGACGGTTGGATGACCAGCGAAACGTCTTCAAGAAAAATACAGCGAGTCCAGTTGCCTTGACTAATTTTTTTTACAGTAAACTCCCTAACAAGGACTAGAGGCCACCACCTAAAACTGGTGGAGAAAAGATTTAACCACAAGGGGCGTAGGGGATTCTTTTCAGTCACAGCGGTTACATTTTTGGAACTCGTTGCCACAAGCAGTGGTATCTGTAGAGAGTATTGAATCATTCGAAAAGCATTTATTTGCCTTCCACAGAGACCGTAACATTCAGGGGTACGGGTACACCTAAAGCTAAGGCACAGGGACTCGTACACACACACATGCACAATCACACACAGACACACAGAGGCTGAACTTGATGGACCTGTGTCTTTATTCAACCTCTAATACTATGTAACTATGTAACTCCCGGGGCTCACATGGATCGTGTGTCTCCAGAATGATCTGTCTTCTGTTTGGGTCTCAGGCCATTGCAGTGTATGTTCATACTTTCTGTGACTCTATCCATCCACCATGTTGCTGGTCATCCTCTCATTCCTCTCATTCAAGCATAACTGTCTTTGTCAGAGCGGGCCCGGGTTTGGCCTTGGCAGGAGAGTTTTAGAGGCTATCGCAGGCCTACACTTTATACCTACAGATGTTTCTTTCTTGGTTTCGATAACATAATTCTCCTCCGGGACATCTTTTTACGAGTGTAACCATAGAAAACTTGTGTAATCTTCATGTATACTATTAGAAAAAGTGAAGGAGATGTTTATTTCTATCGTTACAGAGCGAAAGAACAGATGAATCTAAAAAACAAGACTCTAGTGACCGTGTTTAGGTTTTCTGGTCTATCTGATGATAAGGAACTTGCCCCATTCCTCTTCATGTTCTTTTCACTGGTTTACATGGTTACTATATGTGGAAATGTTGGGATTATGTCCATGGTTTACATCTCGCCCAGCCTCCACACTCCCATGTACTACTTCTTGAGCTACCTCTCTATGGTGGACATCTGCTACTCTTCAATCATTGCTCCTGAAATGTTGTCCGACCTCCTGTCTGAGAAGAAACTAATCACTTTCATGGCTTGCGCCTTCCAGTTCTACTTCTTTGCTGCAATGATAGGGACGGAGGTCCTTGTCCTGTCCATCATGGCGTATGACCGATATGTCGCGATCTGCCGCCCTCTCCATTATGTCTTAACAATGACTAAGAAGAAATGTCTCTATCTTGTCCTTTTTACCTTCTCCAGTGGATTTCTGCACTCAGTCGCACAGACCAGCAGTCTGTTCAGTCTTGAGTATTGTGACTCCAACCTCATAGACCACTTCTACTGCGACATCCCTCCACTGGTCAGGTTGTCCTGTTCCGACACCCGCACCTGCAACATCGTCACCCTTTTCTTTATGTGTCTTTTCAGCTTAAGTTCAATGACAATCATCCTGGTCTCCTACGCCCTCATCATCTCTTCCATCTTACGGATAAGCTCAGCGGCTGGCAGGAGAAAAGCTTTTAGCACCTGCTCCTCCCATCTCATGTGTGCGTCCATCTTCTATGCAACGATTTATCTCACTTACTTACCTTCATCTGGCATCACACTTAAGAAGCAAGACAAGGTGGCCTCTGTCTTCTACGCGGTGGTCACTCCAATGCTGAATCCTCTTATCTACAGCTTGAGAAACCAAGAGATGAAAAAGGTCATCATCCAACAAATGCAGAAGGTTCACAATAAACATACATGATCTATCCTATGATATATGTGATACCTATACCACTCAATCTCACCTGGTCTAAGATACAGGCCCGGTTCCCCCACAAGGCCACCGAGGCCCGGCCTCGGGGCGGCAGGGCGCAGAGGGGCGGCAGCGGTGTCCTTGTGTGGAAGTTGCCCTCTCTACATTCAGTCCTGCTTTGTACAAGCCGAGCTAAATGTAGAGTGAGGCAGACGATTTTTCCTTTACGTGTGAAATCGGCGATGTCGCCGAGATCACATGTAAACAGTGTGCAGCCTCCTCCCCCTCCCCCCTGCACTCACCTCTCTCCTTTGGTTCCGTCCTCCGGGCTCCGACGCCGAGTCTCTCACTGCAGTGAGCGGCCGGGTTAAAAGTAACCCTGCCGCTCCGTGTAGACTGTACACAGTGAGAGGGGGAGAGCTGTGCTGTGCTGCGCTGTGCTGCGCTGTGCCGTGCTGTGCTCTTCCCCCCTCACCTGTCACAGGAGTTCCCCCACAGTGTTGTGCTAGAACTCCTGTATTGTAGGTGGCAGGGTCAATAAAGAGAACCTGTCACCTCCAATTGCTATCACACAGGGGATTGTTTCCTGCTATGTGATAGCAATAAAGTTAGGTGGAAAAAAAATTACATTGATTAAAAAAAAAAAAAATGAAATAATTAAATAAAAAGGTGATTAAACAGTAAAAAATAATAATAAACAAGTTATTAAAAATAAGAAAATAATTATAAAAAATAAACAATAATAAGATAAAAAAATTATAACAAAG